TCACAAAAGAATGGCTACAGATATTAGACGCTGATTTTCAAAGAAGCTTGGGAATATGTTCATCGCCCTAGTAAGGGAAATCCAGGAAAAGCATGAAAATGTGTACCTAGCTTCAAAAAGTGCCATGTTATTGTTATATACAGTGTACCTACACTGCTACACTGAATCTGTTAGCATTGATGTTGTGATATAGAGTGCAAGCCATCCAGAGTAAGTGCCTCTCCTTATAGAATTCCTTCTTAATGACTGTAATTTCTGTCTCAGTTTTTATACACTGTGCAAGGAATAGACATCTTGGATGAGGTGGCATTTTCTCTGAACCTTGAAAAATGGGCAATATTTTGGATGGATGAAATCAGAGAAAAAAAGGATTTTCAGACAGAAGGAACAGAAAACAGAATGAGGAAAATGCAGAATTTAATTAGAAAACAGTGCACTAATTGGTTTGCCCGAAGTATTGAGATTCTGAGAGCAGATATGGAGATAAGATTTGACAGTGCATTAGGTGGAAGGTAGTACAGATGATGACTTTGAGGGGCCAGCTGATGAGAGGAGTGATTAGTAGCCACTTGTGGCTACTATAGATGGCAGTGCAGTAACTGGAGATTTGCCTGAAAGTGCATATTCCTTTTCAGCAAGTTCTACAGCAGAATTGCCATATGATAAAGCAGCCACCAGGGATCATACTATGTCTTTGTTTTCTTCCTACCTTCCTTCTTTCATTTCCCCAAGCAATAGCTTCTCAAGATGCCCCATTCCTTTGCCACATTAAAAGGCCAGAAGAGACCTGAACAACTTGGCAAATTGTCAGAATTATAAAATAAATGGTATTGTTCAGGAAGTAAAATGTGCCTGAGGGAACCATCTACATCCCAAGATATGGTTTTAACAAGTTGAATTTCAGCAATTTCTACTGTCATCCAAAAGCACAAGAGCAAACATCACTGAAAAGTCCCTATAGTGTGTGTGGGTTTAAGAAAATATTTTTGTGGGCAACACATTGGGTGATACAGAGCTCAAGATTCCTGGTGTCTAAAGCAGTATTCTCAAGATAATGGTCCCCAGTGGTCCCAGGACTCTCATTAAAATCTTCACAGTTCTGAGATTCATTTCCAAGAAATGAAGATGACACTACCTTTTAT